TGAAAGTGCTAGGTTCCTGGAGTTTCTCTTGAATGAAGAGCGTGCCTCCCTGCACATGATAATGCACAGATCCAGATGAAACAAACTTCGTTAGCCTCATTGTAGGAGTGACCTAATCCTCTTAGAGGTTCCAGGATACTAATAAAGTGTATGACACTTCATGTTCGCTGGTAGCTCTGCCTAGCTGGAAGTAAGATAGAGCGTTGATTAGTGCCTCCTCTCACAAAAGTCGGTGTGTCCGACCGCATCAAACTCACAGGTTGAGGCATTTACAATAGACTTAGGTTTAACAGTACAAGGACCGCCTCAAGTGTCACAACAGCAGATTTTGTTATACTATTTTTAAGGGGGGGGGGGGGGGCGGGGAGGGAGGAGGGGTGAGGGGGGGCCCATGGGAGAGGCCGAGTGGGTGCTGCCTGTGGCGTGGCGGGCAGGAGGGAGTGGGGACCACTGAGGTTTGTTTGTTTTTGTTTTTTAAAATATATTTTGATTTTTTACTGAGAGGAAGGGAGAGGGATAGAGAGTTAGAAACATCGATCAGCTGCCTCCTGCACACCTCCCACTGGGGAGGTGCCCACAACCAAGGAACATGTCCTTGACCGGAATCGAACCCAGGACCCTTCAGTCCGCAGGCCGACGCTCTATCCACTGAGCCAAACCGGTTAGGGCTGTTTTTGTTTTTTTTAAAGATCCTTTAAAAAAACATGTATACGGGGGTGGAGGGGGCAGTGGGGGGATAAGGACACATATGTAATGCCTTAAAGCAAAAAAAAATTTATTTTAATTATTTTTATTGATTTCAGAGAGGAAGGGAGAGAGAGAGATACATGGATCGGCACCTCCTGCAGGCCCCCCACCGGGGATGGAGCCCCAGGACCCAGCAGCCCGCAGTCCTGCGCTCCGTCCCCTGAGCCCACCAGCCGGGGCTCATGTCCTAAGATTTTTACATCACTGTGAGGTCACACTGTAATTTTCCTTTCTCCTGTTTGCGACCTGATTTTTTAAAGTCTTTTTAAAACTTGATTTTAGAGGAAGGGAGAGAGATGGGGGTGGGGTAGGGAGAGAAACATCGATTGTCC